TGTAACTGGGAAACCAACATTCCCAGATATCGCTCCTCACATCCTTCAATGTACAGAGTCTCAAGTGACGGTGGTAGACACTCCATGAGAGGCACGGTTGGTTCGTTCTGGTATCGAATGTCCAGAAGATTTGGCAGTCTCACGCGCACTTCTTTCAAGGCGGTGAATTCGACGAGGGAGCCGAAGCACTCATCGTGGGATTGGTTCAATCCAGCAGCGGTGAACGGGTAGTGGCTTCCATAGTGGTCCAGCCAGAGTATTTGCAAGCTTTTTTTGCTGTGAATCAAAGACCGATGGAAGGCGGATGGCTGGTAACCATGCGAAAGGATGTGCGAGTCCGAGTGCTGGTATTTAAATGACTTCAGTTCTGCGCATGAACTAACCAACATCTCCATGCCATAGTTCCCACTACTTGCTCGGAAATCAATATCAGTGATTGAGGAGAAGGCAAGGCGTGGCTTCTCATAATCTGTCGGTTCCCTTGTGGAGCTAGGATCCACTACAGAGTTGGCTGTGATAGCACGAACAGACGGCAGTTGGAAAAATGACAGGAGCAGAGTTGCTGATAGTTGAGTCCCACCTTCCAGGTGCTCGCTGTGATCAAGATCTTCCCGGTGGTGCAATGAGACCTCGCGTAGGTGCCGGAAGGCTGGCTGGACGGAAAATGGCTGTTTGCAGTCCACGGCCCTTTGCATGATCTGATCCAAATAAGGAGACTTTGTCGTATAGGCCAGTGAAAGCTTCCTTAGCTGACTTAATAATGGGAGAATGAGCGCAATCCAGGCGTCAGCGAGGCCTTGCCCGAGACTTTGGGCCCATTGATCACTTTCGAGCGTTGAGCATGACACAGCACCTAGCCATGCCACCAAAGATGCTGAAGTCTGAATTTCATTGCATTCATCTTCCGATACGCTTCTTGCATGCCAGTCTGTTATGTCTAGCTCCCGAACGGCCCGCGCCAGTGCAGGTCGTTGCAGTATTGCATGCAGGAAGGAATTGGCATTTTGCCAATGGTAGATGGACGCCTTTCGATATAACAGCGGGAGGAAAAGATTGTGAAAGTGATGGGAGACAAAGACGAGGTTCCGTCGGTCTGCTCTCTGTTCCAGCTGCTCTCCTATCAAGAGAAGTACGTCATTAGGAAGTACCAAGTCCATGATAGCACATTCGGATAACTTCAACAACTTAAGCCAAACTGAATACCGCGGGTAAACAGCGAAGAAGATAACCACGAAATTAATTACAGATTAAAGCAACGCTCAAGTATTGTATTCAAGATCGATTTTTATCGCAGATTTGGCCACCTGCGGACTTCTGGAAGATCAAACTTTGATCCGATCCGGCCAATGCTAGGGCACCATACCGAAGTCGGTGGATCTACAAAAAGCATCGTTTCCACATCTTGAAACCGAGTTAATTCCGTTTGTCTGAAGGTTTGCCGCTTGTTCGGATTCTAATTCCGACTGTGCTCATTAATCGATATCACAGATCTCAAGGAAATTACGTTCTCTACGGAATTTCCCATGGATGGGCGGGAAGTGTTTGGTTTGAGCGCCAGAAATTGACAGCCCAAGAGCCACCTAGGTGCACGGTGGTGCAGGCGACGATACTCTGTACTGAAGATGGTGTCCTAGTCATATAGTCATGGCGTTATGCTTTAAGGTATAGACGGTTCTTATCTACATCGCCCCAGAGGGAATAAAGGCCACGAAGAGTAGCAATTAGGAAGATATTAAATGTATATTGAGAGGCATGGGAATATAAAAACTGACGATGATGAAGGTGAATCAGCCCGAGTGGGCTCGGTGATGGTGACCGAGAGAACGGAGGATCGACCTGAGACATTGGACGCACCTACAAAAACAAGGCAAGTAGAAACAAATTGTTAAAACCCCAGAGTCTCTGTCTCTCAGACTAAACCATGTTAGCGACACGCAATGCAATGTCTGGTGTCCCTCGTTGATCAACAGATCGCCGCCATCTTTCGGGCATTTCGACGTTAGCCCCCGCGGATGCCGCCAGTTTCGTTAATGATCTTTCAACCCTAGACATCCGGCTTCTAATGTTGTATTATGTCTTATGGCACTCTTATTTATCCGGTATTGGTTCCATTCGGACCCAGAGACATCTTGAATGTGTAGCTAGGTGAATATGCTTCAGCGGCTCACCGGGAATGATGGCTCAGGGGTTATCACCCTGGGCCATTGCCATTAGCGGGTGCCTATGAGTTGGACATCGTGTAACAGATCGTGGGTTTGTTATTGAAAACAGTCGCGGGGAGGTGACACCGCGTACAGCTTTTCCTCCGCGGTCGGCCCAAGGTAGAATGTGGTTGTCAGTTTTCATTGAAGATATCCGTTCATCGCGGGCGGTAATTTGGTAATTGCGGATGTACCAGTAGATCTAATGTGTAAGGTGGTAGCAAAGCATCGAGTAGTGGATCATGGTCTGAAAGAGAAGATGCTTTATTTGAGATTCGCGGAGAGAATAAAGGAAATTGAGGAAATGGGGATTCTCGTAACTGTAACGGGGAGGTCTATATGTACGGATAGCTATGGTCACGTGGGCGGTACGCCGTGAGGGTAATACCCTACATTTTGATCCCCAACGCCACAGGCATCAGAAATTCAGATATTGAAGAGGGAAATGCACGATGGGCAACCTGGCCATGCAGGCAAGACGAGAACGACACAGCAATACCAACCATACAGGACGGTCAGCTAGCAAGCATGGGGATCACATAGACCGCACCATAGTATACAATCTCCTAGTGCGCAAACATCTCGCAATTTGCTTCTCATTTCTGGGGTGATGACTCATCGCCCCCGGTGTGGATTCCCTCAAAGTGGTCATTGTCTTCCGGACCGGGAAGTACGTCCACGTCCCCAAATGTCGGACTCAATGTTTTCATCTCTAGGTGCATCAATGTCCATCCCCTCCATGAAGGCAACCTTGTCAGACTCGATCTCTTCCTCCTTGGGTATATCATCGATGGCCATCCCCTCCGTGGAGATTGCCTGCAAGGGCTGCACGAGTGGTGCTCGAGTCATTTATACATATAGCCCTAGAGAGTCCATGCCATTGTTAACTTTTTTAAACATTCAATTATTGGATGTAAACCGTTATCTTTGACTGCTGTTTAGATGGCTGTGTTTGGTTGTTTATTGGAGACAGAGGGTACTACAATGCTCCACCCGAGACGGGTCTAATGGCGGATTACCTAGGACATGTGACCATTCACTCACCATCAGAATAACATTGAGCTACTTCAGTTTATATATGGCAGATAAGGAATATGAGTCGAATGAGGCTTGGATCTGGGGAGGACAAACTTTCTAATCTCAATATTGAAGAGGGACCCTGCCACGGGGGACAGGTGTGAGAGCAGAGTCACTAGGAGTAGTAAAGTGCTAGAGAGGAGAACACCATGGTGTGACTACCGAGAAATCAGGTAGCCATAGTCTTTCGTAAACGTAAGTTATTAAGAGCCTGTGAATCTAGGCATCCTATCACTTATAACTGCATAACTCACTCTTAACTTACAAGACAAAGTTGGGATAGAAGGGAGTGTATATATATACACAGGAATTGCTTCCTTTCTCTCTTTCTCTTCTTCAACCTCTCATCCTGCTTACTCGGTATGTACACCCTTTCCATCAAGTCTATCATGTTTCCATCAATTTAATGGCTGGAGTTCCCCTCAATCTTCAGCATAGAGACTCCCATGACCCAAATTGCGAATCAGTCCCGCAACCCGACGTTGTACAGTGACACATGGACATTGCTTCAGCCCGATACCTCAAATTTACCAAAGCCACAAGGACGACTTCTCAATACAATTCACCAGGTCCTTACCAGGCTCCAAGAATGGAGCCAATCAGTAAACCTGGTGGAAATGGGGAATCGACCTATGACTATGGGATTATGGTGTTTCCTTCTCCGAGTTAATATCGACTGGCTAGTCGATATAGTGTCTATAGCAATACCGAAGTCGGTTTTGAAGGTATTTGAAGATGAAACGATCACACTGGAAAGCCTTCTCGCGCTCCCAGCCCCCTCCCAGTCAATTGACGAACATGGGATCTATCTCTCAGTTATTACTGAGACAGAGCAACATGGCAATACAGTTTCAATATATGTTGGATCAAGTGTGGCAATCAGAGTGCGGATTATCCGTCACAAAAGTCCCTCACTATGGGAAACACACCCCAACTCTCCGCTATATCGTCTCTTACGGCAAGGTGTAAAGGCTCAATTTCGTCTTCTTGCATCATTCAAATCTCCAATCGAGAGAGGGTATCTCAAGTTGTTCGAGGGGGTTTTCATTGTCTTACTTGGAGGCCTCCAAAAACCTCAGTACGAAACTGAATGGGTAAAGGACAGTGCATGGGGGTTATACAACTAGATTGCAAAAAAAGTCGAATGGCGGACCTCGTTCAAAGGGCTGAATGCCGCATGGCCTTTAGCCCAAGGCTTTCGAAACCACGGCTCAAAGGAAATATCACCATGTGCCCACTGTGGGTACTTGTCGCCCGTACCAACCTTCCGTACTAGGTAGTCGGGCATTCTGTCCCTTAGGAAAATACAACTCTCTCCCTCTTTCATCGCAGCCCTACAACGTAGTCCAATCAAATATAATAGATCATACCAGCTACCCGTAAACGACCACTCGAGGTAGTGGCGCATACGGTGACACACTGGTAGCTCAGGGGAATGATGATGATGCATTAGCTAGCTACAGCAGCGGGGTAACTAGTTACATTATGGTCACGTGTACCCCTCTGTGGGTAACATCTGCCCCTGCTTGAAATCCGACCGCCCCGGTCGGCGTGTCAGTGCGATAAAAAAGAAAGTGATAATAGTAAAAAAGAAGGGGGATCTATCAGCGCTCCTGGCTTCCGGGAGGCTGAGGCTGGGGTATGGGCGTTCCTGGCTTCCGGGAACGTCATTGACCCGGAAGAATAGCAGCAGCACCCTGGGTGCCGGGGTGTTGCTACCGCTCAAGGGGCTCTGGGTTCCTGAGTACCCTCGGACGAGTTTGTAATGATATTGGGATTCCCTGTCTCCCAGTTATGGCTAAGTTCACGGAAGAGTTGGGTCGCGGGTCCTTTAGAGCTCTCGATCGCGTCTGCGAATGCGTTCTGTCCTGCGATAAAGCGGAGCGCGTCTCTGACTACTGCTCTCTCTTTAGGGTTGTGAGCGTTGGCTAGCGCAGCTTGCGCGTACGTTAGCAATACGGGTAGACACGTAAGCATAAATAATATGTCTGCGTCTGTGTCGGAAAGCCTATGTTGGCGGATGTTTTGTAGGAGTGCCGAGGCGTTTAGGCTTGCTGTACATGTCTGCTTCCGAGCTAAGGTGCCGGGCGTACGGTCTGGTGCCGTCCTCGAAGTATAGCAGAAGCTGGTATGAGAGCGAGATTGCTTTCTCTAGGCGTTCTCTATGCAGTGCCCTTTCGCCTGTTACCTGTGGTGGCATCGAGCTCTGTATTGGTTGAAGGTGGGTCGCTTAGGACAAGGGGCGGGGTGATCGCTTTTCTGCTGGCTTGACTGCCTGTTTGGATCGTGGCTACACTGGGTACCAGTGTCGCCTAAGATATGGCGCAGCACCGGCTGCCAGTGCTGCAAGTTAAAATTTTGATGGAAAAAAACAAAACTAGGGTCCTTCGTCAAAATAGGAGCTGCTCCTAGATCGGAACGGACATGCTACCAGATGACACACTGGTAGCTCAGGGGAATGATGATGATGCATTAGCTAGCTACAGCAGCGGGGTAACTAGTTACATTATGGTCACGTGTACCCCTCTGTGGGTAACATCCGGGTTCTAGTTTGCTGAGCGTAGACGACGCAAAGTCCGTCCGAATCTAACGTACTATGGCTTGCAGCCGGCTTCTATCCTGTAATGACCCTAATACGGTCCAGATTTGACTTATGGCCTGCAGCTGGCTTTCGATTCCCGTGGCTGACCGTATACGGTCCGAATTTAACTTGCAAATACCACTGGATAGCCCGAATAGATCGAGGTTATGTTAATGAAAGACCATTTGTCACGCTAAATTGAGGTGGCAGCACCTCGGGCGTATTGCAGTTTTTAGATTACCCATAAAGATCCTATCAGATACGGTTGTGGCAACATCAAAGCAAGCTTAGAAACACTGTCAGAATCTGGGATGAAAACCGTCATCCTTGATACAGATGGGTCACGTGATTGACCAGGCTGGTTTTTCTGCAAAAAACCAACTCAGTGGTTTTTCGGGCGAAAAACAAGGAACAGTAAGCCACACATGATATAAATGTAACGCTGGTAGTCTGATCGTCAAACACGACCTTGCAAAGCTTGTATAGACAGTCTGGACAGCCAGGAAGGATTGATCACACCAGAGGCTAAGTCTGAAGCTAGCAAATTTGAGGGGGAGATGCAACCGGTTAGTTAAACGCAGTTTCCCATCTCGATTGTTGATCCTGGACTCTGCATAGATTCTTGGCCTTGTAGTAAAGGTAGATGGAGGTGTATCACATTTTCTTGCCGGCTAATAAGTGAGCTGGGATCAGCAGGCGGCAGCAGACGGCAGCAGACGGCGGGTTGTTGGTTTCAATTTGGTAAGGAAACTATTCGCACCATATTATTAGACATGTGTCGAGTAAAAGGGAGAGGCGGGAGGAAGTGATGCATTGTTCCCGCCCGATTTTAGCTCCCCAAAGGGGTTCTTCCCACGTCATTGATGGCCGGCGCAGGGATGAAGGAGTCGAGTTCTAAACGACCGGTTCTTAGTGGTCAGCAATTGGCGTGAGAAAACAGCCCCTTTGTTTCGGGATCTTACCCCGAGACCGCGTGTTTGAATCTGGTAACCGTAGCCCTGAAGGTGGGCTTAGCGTCTTAATTACAACTTTGTAGGGGGCGCACTCAATTATCCAGCCACAACCGCAATGTGGCGATACTAGCTATGAGCCTAGAATATGAGATGGAGGTTCAACCTAGCAGAGCTCCTGGGAAGAATGGTTCAGTGTGATATACCAGTCAATCAGCGTTGAAAATTGCTTCCAGTATCCTGCATGCTAGTCGGGTCGTACTATGGCCACGAGTGTCTTGGTCGGACAAACAGGCTCTGAGGGCGTTGCATGCATGTGCCGTGTTACCAAATCATGGCGGGAGAGGCGTGTTGTGTTGTCAAGGAGGTCTGACCACCCGCCTTTCATAAGCCAAGATCGACATCAGCACAGGGCGCGTGTCGGCTCTCATCGAGATGATGATTAGTGCTCAGTCTTCTGTGACGGAAAGTTAGTTTTGAATTTTATGTCTTGTAGACAAAGGAGGCCAAATCAGGAGACAGCAAGTCTCATCCACGGACCTTCCACCACGACCCTTGAACAAGATAGGCAAATGTCCGACGACGCGATGATACCATGTGGCTTGAGGTGACATATAATGTTACATATAATATGGGGCTCACTAGCATCTGACCACAAACTAATTTGATATCCAGCCGATAATCCGTGACTTGGTGACTCGGAAGCTTCCAAGGTTGGCTTTGGCAGGTCATTATCGAAGTTGAAAAGGCGGGTTTCCTTCTATAGTATTTCCCCACTAACTACTGACTCTACGTACTGGGTATTAATTTGCATATTCATCTGTACAGCAGTGGGAATCTACTTCGTATAATGCAGGTAGTATTCCGGGGAACCCACTTTTCCCCGCATCTCCGCATCTCCGCGTTTTCAGGGTTCTTTTTAGGATTTTTGAGTTTGCTCCTTTCCCATTCGGGGTTTTATTGTATTTTATTTAAGGATCGTATCTTTAAAATCTCTCGCCCTTGCTCTCTATCCCTTCTTCTTCTTTCTTCCTCCATCTTTAATCAGACTCTCTTGTGGAACTTCATTAGTTATGGGTTACAAGATAACTAATATCTATGTCATCACCGCGGTGGCCGTCATCGGCGGCGCACTATTCGGTTTTGATATCGCGTCTATGTCCGCCATGTAAGGCTTCCCATTCCTTGGAAATATCAGATTGAGGCTGATGATCACTGACTATCTCTGGCAGTCTCGGCACCCAGCAGTACAAGTGTTTCTTCAACCAAACTGGCACCAATGATAGCAATGAATGCGGTGGCCCTACCTCTTCCACTCAGGGTGGTATCTCAGCTGCCATGCCTGGTGGCTCCTGGGTGGGCTCCCTAGCTTCTGGTTTCGTAACCGACTATCTGGGTCGTCGCGGGGCCATCCAGTCTGGCTCAGTGATCTGGTGCATTGGTAGTGCCATCGTGTGTTCATCTTTTGGAATACCCCAGCTTGTCGTTGGCCGCTTTATCAACGGAGTTTCTGTCGGTATACTCAGCGCCCAAGTGCCAGTCTATGTCGCCGAGTTGGCCCAGCCCAGTAAGCGTGGACAGGTGGTGGGAGCACAACAGTGGGCGATCACTTGGGGTATCTTGATCATGTTCTACGTCTCATACGGCTGTAGCTTTTTGAAGGGCACCGCTGCATGGCGCGCTCCGTGGGGGTTGCAGATGGTTCCCGCTGCCCTGCTCTTTGGCTGCGTCTTCCTATTGCCAGAAAGTCCACGTTGGTTGGCCAAGAAGGATCGTTGGGAAGAATCTCTTGAGGTTCTGGCGTCGGTCCATGCCAAAGGTGACCGAAATGCGCCTTTCGTGCAAGCCGAATTACACGAGATCCGTGAAATGGTCGAATTTGAGCGCAATAACAAGGATGCCTCATATCTTGACCTTTTCAAGGGTAATATGATTTACCGAACCCACCTCGGTATGTTCACGCAAATTTGGTCTCAGCTCACTGGTATGAACGTCATGATGCTTTATATTACCTATGTATTCGGTATGGCCGGCCTCACTGGAAACTCGAACCTTATCGCATCCTCGATTCAGTACATCATCAACGTGGTGATGACTGTGCTAGCTTTGGTGTTCATTGATCGTTGGGGCCGTCGCACTCCGCTTTTGGTCGGTTCTACCCTCATGATGGTGTTCATGTTTGCCAACGCCGGCATCATGGCATCGTATGGCAAACCAGCCCCACCGGGTGGTCTCAACAATACTCCCGAACAGTCGTGGGATCTCTCAGGGTCCCCTCAGGCCGCCAAGGCAGTCATTGCTTGCACCTATCTTTTCGTCGCCAGCTTTGCGCCAACCTGGGGTCCTGTCAGCTGGATCTACCCCCCTGAGCTCTATCCCCTTCGCCTGCGTGGCAAGGCTGTCGCTCTTTCAACGTCGTCTAACTGGATCTTTAACTTTGCCCTTTCCTACTTCGTCCCTCCCGCTTTTGAAAACATCAAATGGAAGGTCTATGTATTGTTTGGAGTCTTTTGCTTTGCAATGACTGTCCATGTCTTCTTCGCCTTCCCTGAAACAGCCGGTAAAACCCTGGAGGAGGTCGAAACCATGTTTGCCACCCCCGGTCTTACGCCCTGGAAGACGAGTGTGCAGTATAAGCATGTTCGTAGGCTGGAGAAGGGAGATATTCAGTCCGACAAAGTGGCAGACCTCCGCGCAGAGGAAGGAACCGTCCAAGCTCCCAAGACCAATGAAAAGGAAAGCACCATTTCGCACGTCGAATAGGTACCTGGCCTCCATAACTTGGTACATTATCTCCGCGTGTTTCTTAATTGGAACCAGAATCATTACTTTGTCCACGTGGAGACACGCTTTGCCAATATGATGAATTGCTCTTAATATTTCCGAAGAGTTTGACCATCCCCCACAGTCTCCTGAACATGTCTTAACTGCGAAATATTAACGGGATCCCAATCCCTCATGCTTTTGTTTGTGTTCAAACCATAATTTGTTAATACCAAGATGAACCAACCGCAATCTTTACTACTCTATGCTCAAACTATTACAAATTCAAATTCAACTTGGACATGCGATATATCCTCTCTTGTTTCTGGTCCTTTCACTATGTAAACAGCACGCGTTCCCCGCATCAGACGCCTTGCTTGCTAGGTCGTCAGATTGCCCGGTTATGGTAATAACTTGTACGCATTCATTGGTAATTAATAATGGTTTAAAGATGACCGCGATAGCAGTAGAAGCAAAGTGGAGAGTCGTGGCATAGTAAAACTCGATTTTGCTCAGGTTCTTCCTCATAGGATGACACATAAGAAATGATCATCCATAAGTACTAGTAAGCTACGGAGTAGTAATTTTCGAAGTAGAAGTGTGCCGCAAGTACAGGCGGAATTTCATGCACTCGACTTAAAAACACTCAACAATCTGTAAACGTTGCAAAACAATCTATGAAT